AGAAAAGAGTGACGTTTACAGCTTTGGAGTTGTCCTTATGGAGCTACTAACAAGCAAAGTGGCACTTTCTTTTGACAGGCCAGAGAAAGAGAGAAACCTGGCGAGCTTCTTTGTTTGGTCAATGGAGGTGGATCGCTTGAATCAAATTCTTGATGATGAAATAGTCAAGGAGGGAAATATTGAGACAGTTAAAAACGTGGCCGATCTCGCAAGAAGGTGTGTAAGATTAAAAGGGGAGGATAGGCCTACCATGAAGGAAGTAGCAATGGAGCTAGAGGGAATGAGAATTATGGCAAAGCATCCATGGGGGAAAGCTGATTGTCCAGAGGAGACCGAGTACTTGCTTGGGTCAGGTAAGTCAGACGCTTATGTTGTGGATGTTACAGCTGATTGTGGTCATCCTAGTGGTACAAGTAGTGGATATGACAGCATGCAAATCCAGATGTTAATGTCATCTGGTGATGGGCGATAATCAATTGCTTGTTGCTATACGTTCTAGTTGTGATAATCAAAATGTAAACCAATATCTTCTTCTTTGTTGTTCTTATTGGTTTATATGGATGTTATGAATTCAAAATGTCTTTCTGCCAGTGATATAGATGATCAGTTGAGACTTCAATTAAGACAACAGAGAAGTTACTTTTACTGTTTGGACCAAATATTTTTACTGTTTGGTAACTATGCAATTTAGTACAGTTCAAAGTTTGACCCAGTAATTCACCCCCGACTTAATCAAAATTGGGAAAGCAAAATTGTTGCTGACATACATAGGCTTGCTTCCTTTGGGATGTCAGAATTTTGAGCTTGCTCTGTTTTCTTAGATGTTTTCTTTCTCAAGACTTACCAAAAGAAAACCCCTGACTTAATCAAATCTGTGGGAGCAAATTTCCTCCCACGAGAATATTCGTCTAAAGATTCCTTCGTCTTCTTCGCACCTCTCTCTCCCTGCAAAACAGATCGGAGTAAAAAGACCACACCCGGGGGGTGTTGGCCAAAGGCCCTCCGATGCCTAAGTTAGGATGGGTGTTTCAAAGAAAACCGGGTGGCCGGAGCCGTGTGTGGTGGCCGGAGCCTTGTGTGAGGGAGAGAAAGAATATGGTGGCTAGGGTTTGTAAAAGATAATTTCTGCAGAGTTTCAGTAGGAATTTAGACGTACCTTAACCCTTGTGTGTAGCTAGGTATTTATAGGAGCCTCGGAGGCTAGGGTTTCAGAGGAATAATTCCGTAGATGGAAAGGAATTATTCCTCCCCGATTAGGCGAGATTTGATTAATTAAGGATTTGATTTATTTGATATAAATCAAATCCCTAATTGGGGTAGGAATCAAATCAATCCCCATTTTAATTAGATAATTGCTAATTTAATTGGGTAACTCCCAATTAAATTGAGTAACTCCCAATTAGGTCAAATAATCCCCAAATGGAAGGAATTATTTGACCTAGGGTGATTTAATTCGGTTCCCACAAAATCTACCATTTTTTTTAATTTTCCAGAAACCAGTAAAGGTTGATAAGTTCTTGGAGGTTTACCGGTCAACCTTTTCCTTCTTTTTTCTACTCTTTTATAAACATCACAAAAACTTTTCAGCAATTCCTTTCTTGAGTAAAAAACTAGTTTAGCTTCAAATTTTATTCATTAAAAAACAGAGAAATAAGGAGGAACTTTGTCCAAAATCACACAATTGTCCAAACGAAGTGTTAATAAGTTGTAACAACATATACAAGGCAATATATGTTAAGATTTCAGAGGGACGGATCCTTGGCTCACCATTAACAACATTAACATTGTCTCCAACTTAACCACCTGTTTAGCAGGTGTGGATTTTTATACAAAATATATCGATGCTATTAGAAGTGAAATCATTTATTATATGAGACTTTCTATTTTGTTAAGTTTCCAATATTCTTCAACAATATAGACTGTCAAAATGCAAGAAATTGAAAATCCCAAATGCAAGAAATTGAATTCTTGTCAATAATCAACTTTGCTATTCATTTCTCTCGCCATAGCAAAGGACTTACAATATTATGTAGACGGTGGACTACATTGACTTCAGATAGCAACCTCTCGTTTCGTTAATTTCTTTTTTTTTTATGTAGTTGATGTGTCTCTCTCAGTAGTACATTTTTAGTAGTTTATGGAAATTATACAGACGACTTCAGCGTGGACAAATGAATAAAGATGAGGACATGGGCTAGCCTAGCCCCATGAGCCACGGCGTGACCCTACCAGCCTTAACTCCTTAACCAAACTCTTGACAATGACATAGTCAATGATGGGAATATTGAGACTATAGTTAAGGACGAAGACATTTCCCCTTAACTATAGCGTATGCATGATTGAGGCCCTATAAAAAGACCATGCGGTATAGACCTTAATTTTCACACAAGCAATACATGCAATTTTAGTACAATATTATTGGTTCCTCTTGCTAAATCTACAAGAAAGAAGGAACTAAGAATTTAAGTACTAGCAACACTGCCATGGCTTTTCATGGGAGGATGCTTATAATTATGCCGCTCTCTTTGGTACTGTTTGCAACAATAACATCAGCAGCAGGTCAAGCCAAGCCAAACTGCCCAGACAGGTGTGGCGATCTCACAATTCCATACCCCTTTGGGGTCAACGAAGATTGTTACATGGGAAGTGACTATTTCATCAACTGCGCGCCGAATGGAACTGCATTTTTGAGGAACAGTAACATCCGCGTTACCAACATATCAGTTGACCTCGGGGAGATCCAAATCCAGCAGTATCTGACCTACGATTGTTATACCGAAGAGGGTGAACACCGCTACAACATCCCGGAGTTGTGGTTGACTCCGCCTTACACCATCTCGGGTGCCAAAAACAAGTTCATGGCCGTTGGCTGTGACACTTATGCAGAGTTTCAAGGTTACCGCCCGAACCAAAACCTGCCCTTCATTGCTGGGTGCATGTCCCAGTGTCTCGGCCTCGACAGCGTTGATGAGAACTCTTGCTCCGGAATTGGGTGTTGCCAGACCTCCATACCCGACGGACTCAAAAACCGTACTGTGTATTTGAAGAGCTATAACAATCATACCTATGTGATGGATTTTAACCCCTGCAGCTACGCTTTCATTGTGCAAGAAGGCCAGTTCAACTTCTCTGGTAATGCAAGCTTCCAACAACTGGCGAACGTAAGCGAGCTTCCCATGGTCCTTAATTGGGACATTGGGGACGAATCATGTGATGTTGTAGCTGAAAAGAAGAATTCTTCTTGCATGGCACATACCAAGTGTGTCAACCGGACCATCGGCAACCAGGCCCCCTCTGGTTACATTTGCCAGTGCTTGCCAGGTTACTACGGCAACCCATACCACCCAGATGGTTGCCTAGGTACTCATCGTATATATACATATACGTAACCACATAAATTTTATGTTGTGTATATCATTAATTAACTAATGTGTGTGATGATACATATATATATATATATATATATGTGCTTCTCATTTCTTTCAGATGTTGACGAGTGCAAGGACTCAAACCCTTGCGATATTGGAACGTGCGTGAATAAACCTGGAGATTACACTTGTAAATGTCCCAAAGGGTACAAGAATACTGAAGATCTGAAGAAATGCATCAAGAAAAACACCAACACTCCCATAAAAGTTGCAATGGGTATGTACTACTACTGTATGTATGTAATTGAACATTATAGTATTGACTGAAGAGAAGAAAGGAGCTTTGATGTTAGCTACCTCTACAAGCCATCTCTGTTTCTGTATAAGTACATAATATATAAAAGCAACAATAAGTTCATTGTGATTTTTCAACTATCTATATGCAGGAGTCATTGCGGCCTTCTTTGTTCTACTGGTTGTATTTTTTTTCCTATACTGCGCAATGAAGAGGAGACAGTTCAAGAAACAACAAGACAAGTTCTTTAAACAAAATGGTGGCTTATTTTTACGACAACAGTTGGCGAGTTACAATGGATCCGTCGAGGCAGCCAAAATCTTTACTGAAGCAGAACTGGAGAAGGCCACAAACAATTACAATGAAGAGAGAAAAATTGGTGAAGGTGGCTATGGAGTAGTTTACAGTGGAAATTTGTCTGCAGATCATCATAACAAAGTGGTCGCCATAAAAAAGTCCAAAGTTAATAACCCAATAGCTGAGACTCAGAGTCTAGAGTTTGTTAACGAGGTGATTGTTCTTTCCCAAATCCACCATAAAAATGTTGTGAGGCTCCTTGGCTGTTGTTTAGAGACTCAAACGCCTATACTGGTTTACGAGTACATTTCCCATGGCACTCTTCATGATCACATCCATAGAAAAGACAACAAATACCCACGACTTCCATTGGACTTGCGGTTGAAGATAGCAGCAGATACTGCAGAAGCACTCTCATACTTGCACCACTACACTGAGCCCCCAATCATACACCGAGATGTTAAAGCAATGAACATACTACTAGACCACAAGTACACCGCAAAAGTTGCGGACTTTGGAGCTTCAAAATTGGTTCCGGATCAAGATGAAGGAAAACTATCAACTTTGGTGCAAGGGACACTCGGACACTTGAACCCTAAATATCTTCAGTCCCACATACTACCAGAAAAGAGTGATGTGTATAGCTTCGGAGTTGTCCTGGTGGAGCTAATCACAAGCCAAAAGGCACTATCCTCAAACAAAAAGTCGGAGGTTGACAGAAACCTAGCAAACGCTTTTGTTCACGCAATGAAGGAGAGCCGCTTGAATGAAATTCTTGATGCTGAAATCGCCAAGGAAGGAGAAGGGTTTGAGAAAGTCGTAGAAACAGTGGCAGATCTGGCAAATAGATGTTTAAGGTTAAGAGGGGAGGAAAGGCCGTCGATGAAAGAAGTAGCGGTGGAGCTCGGGGGATTATTGAAAATTATGGGGAAGGATTCAGATGAGGGGAAGGCTGATTTCAAACTATCTCCCCAAGAGACCGACCAAGAGACCAAATACTTGCAAGTACACCGCAAAAGTTGCAGACTTTGGAGCTTCAAAATTGGTTCCGGATCAAGATGAAGGCCAACTATCAACTTTGGTGCAAGGGACACTCGGATACTTGGACCCTGAATATCTTCAGTCCAACATACTAACAGAAAAGAGTGATGTGTATAGCTTCGGAGTTGTCCTGGTGGAGCTAATCACAAGCCAAAAGGCAGTATCCTCAAACAAAAAGTCGGAGGCTGACAGAAACCTAGCAAACGCCTTTGTTCGCGCAATGAAGGAGAGCCGCTTGAATGAAATTCTTGATCCTGAAATCGCCAAGGAAGGAGAAGGGTTTGGGAAAGTCGTAGAAACAGTGGCGGATTTGGCAAATAGATGTTTAAGGTTAAGAGGGGAGGAAAGGCCGTCGATGAAAGAAGTAGCGGTGGAGCTCGGGGGATTATTGAAAATTATGGGGAAGGATTCAGATGAGGGGAAGGCTGATTTCAAACGATCTCCCCAGGAGACCGACCACTTGCTTGGGTCACCTGCTAATTTCGTTGTGGATATAAGTAGTGCAGAGTACGACCACAGCATGCAAACTCAACACATCCAAATGGTAAAGCCTTATGGTGATGGCCGATAGTTAATTAGCTCCTTAATTCCTTAGTGATCTAGCATGTATTGAATTGTAGTTTGTTTCAATTCCAGTCATCAGTGCCTCTTGAAATAAAAGTACGTTAGCGTTGAACGTACTACTGTAATATGTGTGTGTGTCATAGAGTTAATTATGTGGTATTTGATTATTATCTATTGTAAACTTGTGATTATTATCTTCTTCTTTTTCTTCATAAATCTGAATAATATGTTTCAAACTTCCTCTGACGCTGCTATATGTACGTACTAGCTAGCTAGCTAGCTAGCCTAAACGAGAGCTCCTATTTTTGTTTGTTTTGAGATATTTAGTTATATACCCATTCTTAGTACTAATTATATAAATAAACCCTACACCATTTAATTTCTATAAACAAACCCAAAAAGAAGAAAAAACAGCAATTTTCTTGCAACGTGTAGAAAAGCTTAAGTTTGACGAGCTTTATACTGCCAATGGTATCTAAGTCAAGCTTGACGAGGTCATGTTGCTTGCATATTCTCATTCAACTACCTGCTATATTTCTTGGTCATTATTTTTTTGTTATACAAAATAAATTGGGGTCTCTCGGGGAAGGGGATATCAAACATAGAAGATGTAGTTGTTTTGTGTCATACATAAAAATAGAAAGAAAAAAAAAAAAAGGCAGAGAAATCCTAGCAAACATCTTTTTGTTTGCGCGGTGAAAGAGGGTCGGCTAGCTAAAATTCTTGATGCCGAAATAATTAAAGACGCGCATAATTTCGAGAGAGTGAGAAAAAGTGGCGGATCTGGCAAAAAGATGTTTGGTGTTAAGAGGTGAAGAATGGCCTCCAAATTCCAATGGAGCTCCGGAGATTAGTGCAAATTATGGAAAAGCATCCAGCTGGGGGAAAGGCTGACGATATTTGTTTTATGTCTTATTTTTTTCTTGAGAAACTCATGTAAATTTTTTTTGTGCTTGAATAAACTAGTAGATACATCCAAACTCTGTCCTTAGAGTACTTCCACCCATCATCTTTTGCCACAAAAAACAACCTAAACAAAGGAAAAATTGCCATGACAAGATGTGGGCCCATGAAACTGGGCAAGCCCAAAGGCAAGACTTGTCTGGGCAAGTTGGCGTCAGTGACCAATTTAAATACTAAAAAATTATTTAAAAAATAACAAAAAATTCAGAATTTTTTTCTATAAATACGTAGTCATGTTCTTCACTTCCCACACCAAAATCCATACAAATTCCTCTTCTCATATCTCATGTAAATAGTGGTTGCCTTTTTCTGTTAACTATGCAATTTAGTACAGTTCAAAGTTTGACCCAGTAATTCACCCCCGACTTAATCAAAATTGGGAAAGCAAAATTGTTGCTGACATACATAGGCTTGCTTCCTTTGGGATGTCAGAATTTTGAGCTTGCTCTGTTTTCTTAGATGTTTTCTTTCTCAAGACTTACCAAAAGAAAACCCCTGACTTAATCAAATCTACCATTTTTTTTAATTTTCTAGAAACCAGTGAAGGTTGATAAGTTCTTGGAGGTTTACCGGTCAACCTTTTCTTTCTTTTTTCTACTCTTTTATAAACATCACAAAAACTTTTCAGCAATTCCTTTCTTGAGTTAAAAACTAGTTTAGCTTCAAATTTTATTCATTAAAAAACAGAGAAATAAGGAGGAACTTTGTCCAAAATCACACAATTGTCCAAACGAAATGTTAATAAGTTGTAACAACATATACAAGGCAATATATGTTAAGATTTCAGAGGGGGCGGACCCTTGGTTCACCACTAATAACATTAACATTGTCTCCAACTTAACCACTTGTTTAGCAGGTGTGGATTTTTATACAAAATATATTGATGCTATTATAAGTGAAATCATTTATTATATGAGACTTTCTATTTTGTTAAGTTTCCAATATTCTTCAACAATATAGACTGTCAAAATGCAAGAAATTGAAAATCCCAAATGCAAGAAATTGAATTCCTGTCAATAATCAACTTTGCTATTCATTTCTCTCGCCATAGCAAAGGACTTACAATATTATGTAGACGGTTGACCACATTGACTTCAGATAGCAACCTCTCGTTTCGTTAATTTCTTTTTTTTTTATGTAGTTGATGTGTCTCTCTCAATAGTACATTTTTAGTAGTTTAAGGAAATTATACAGACGACTTCAGCGTGGACAAATGAATAAAGATGAGGACATGGGCTAGCCTAGCCCCATGAGCCACGGCGTGACCCTACCAGCCTTAACTCCTTAACCAAACTCTTGACAATGACATAGTCAATGATGGGAATATTGAGACTATAAAAAATGGGTTAATCATTTTATTAGTCCCTAAATTTCGATCCGATTTGCATTTGAGTACCTTAATTTTCAAAATGGTTCCTCTGGTCCTTTAACTTCACTTTCGTTATGACAAATGGTCATGCAGTCAATTTTGTTAACTTTTTCTGTTAAATGCAGGGGCAAAATGGTATTTTTATATTAAAACCAAAAAAATGAATACAAAATCATATCTTTAAAATAACAATAAAAGAAAATCAAATAAAAAACCAACCAAAAAAGAAAAAGAAAAAATTAATGAGGGAAGTAGAAATCGGGATAGAGGGGGGGGAGGGGAGAGAGAGTTTAATTTTAATTTTATAGTTTTTTAATTTTTTATTCATATTTTAATCAATTTTGATTAAAAAATACCATTTTGCCCTTGCATTTAACAGAAAAGTTAACAAAATTAACGGCATGACCATTTGTCCTAACAAAACTGAAGCTGAAGGACCACGGGAACCATTTTGGAAATTGAGGTACTGAAATGCAAGTCCGGTCTAAATTCAGGGACTAATAAAACGATTAACCCAAAATGTGGCCAATCTCGCAACCAGATGCTTGATGTTACAAGGGGAGGAAAGGCCTACAATGAAAGAGGTAGCCATGGAGCTGGAAGGAATGAGAATTATGGCAAAGCATCCACGGGGGAAAGCTGATCCAGAAGAGACCGAGTACTTGCTTGGGTCAGCTAAGTCAGATGCTTATCGTGTGGATGTTACAGCTGATTGTGGTCATCCTAGTGGTACAAATAGTGGATATGACAGCATGCAAATCCAGATGTTAATGTCATATGGTGATGGGCGATAATCAGAGGCGGACGCACGTTGGGACAAGAGGGGTCTAACGACCCCTTGGAATACCTGAAATTTGGCTATGGACTCCATGGACGACCCCTTGGACAGCTGCGGAGCGACCCCTTCTGTTCACACCAGGTGCTTGACGAAAGTCCCAGCCTGTCTGTGTCTTGTGTTGGTCTGCCATGGAATCAATAGACCATTTGTTTTCGATTGTGCACTGATGCAAAAGCCAAACCAACTTTCGTGCTGCTCTTGTTTGTGAAACAATGGAAGAAAGTCTCTTCGTTTAGTTAGCAGTGAGGGAGTGGCGAGGGAGGCTGGGAAGAAATAAACAGAGAGAGAAAGAAAGGATAAAAAAAAAAGAGGGGTTGGCTGGAAGAAGAAGGAAAATAATAAAGAAAGAGAGGGGGAAATATTAAATAAAAGAAAAGAAAAGGAGAATAGAAAAAATAATAAATAAATAAAAGAAGATGGATCTATCTTCTAGTCACACTCTTTTTCTTTTTCTTTTTCCTTTCTTTTTTTCTACCCACTTTTGTAGTTATATTTATTTTGTTGTTGGCAATGGCATATTTGATTAAAACCATTTATAATCATAAGTTATCTTTTATTATGTTATATCACAATTGGAACTCAAAAAAATAGAGAATTTGAAAGAGAAAAAATAGATAAGAAAAAGAAAAACTCTCTAATTTTTTTTTGGAATATTTACACTATGACCACTTGGGTTACAGATCCTGGATCCGCCTCTGGTGAGGCCTTACTGTTGACGTGAGTACTATCTGTCCTAGTAATATTTTTGTTGCTTTTCCACTTATTGTCATGGCAACTCAAGGGTAATTACTATTCACATGAGATTAATTTATTTATATGTATGAGATTAATAAAAATAAATAAAAATATGCTAGGTATGTATTAAAAAATATTCTGAATATTTTGGTAATTTTTCATATTTTTTATTTTATTTTTCGTTACTGACGTCAATGCCCTCAGGCAACAGCTCGGGTTGCTCTTGCCTTCGGGGCTACCCAAGCTTGGTGGAGCCCACCATCTGCTCGAATTGGATTCAACCGTTGGAGTCCCATTATGCTCGCTTGGTGGGCCTTTTTCCCTGCCTAGGCTAACGGGTGGAACTGCTATTATATATGGCCCTTAGGTGAGGCCTTACTTGATTTGGGATTCAAACTGATTTGGGATGTCAAAATGTGGCCAATCTCGCAACCAAATGCTTGATGTTACAAGGGGAGGAAAGGCCTACAATGAAAGAGGTAGCCATGGAGCTGGAAGGAATGAGAATTATGGCAAAGCATCCACGGGGGAAAGCTGATCCAGAAGAGACCGAGTACTTGCTTGGGTCAGCTAAGTCAGATGCTTATCGTGTGGATGTTACAGCTGATTGTGGTCATCCTAGTGGATATGACAGCATGCAAATCCAGATGTTAATGCCATATGATGATGATGGTCGATAGTCGATAATCTATTAACTTGTTGCTGTAGTGATGTAGTTTAGAAAATGTAAACCTATGTCCTCTTTCTTTGTTGGCAATTTCAGTTTATTTGGATGTTTTTAATTCAAGATGTCTTTCTGCCAGCGATATATGATCAGTTGAGAATTGAATTGATCTTTTTTCAATTAGAGATGTCCTCGCATGCATTTAATTGCAAAATGTCTAGAGTGAGTTTTGTCCGAATTTTTGTTTGCGAACATATCTTCTTAACATTGCAACTAAGACAAAACACAGAAATTATTTTAGCAGCCCTAGACATGAACAACAACGACACAAGGTTTTTCATTGCATTGCAATTGCTATTATCAAATCCTCATGCAAAAAGTGTATATGTAGCTGTATCATAGATCAACACAAGGCAATATTAAATGGGCTCTTAAGGTTCTGTTTGGTTTTAGAAGATGATGTGACTGACAATCCCAACTTATTGTTTCCCCCTTCTAATTAAATTAGAAGCAGACATAGGTTGACAAGTACAAAGAAGAACCAGAAATAGACTTTTATCACAAGCAGAACTTCCTGTGAAAATAATTGAATCAACCAGATGCCATAGTAAAGGGACATACAAATATCAACCAGATGCCAGTGGAATTGGGGAAGCCATATGAGAAGGAAGCAAAAGACTTTCACAACTAGTAAGTTTAAGCAGCCCCATTCAGACATATCAAACACTTCACTAGCTAGATCCTTGGATGAACTTGTTGCTGTTGTGAAAATGGACAAACACTTTCACTCACTCCCCTAATGATCTTGTTGTTGATGGACTTTTGTGACACACACAATGATGGATGAATCACACACACACACTTGAGACAACAACCAAGCACAAAGTGACACAAGAATTTATAGAGGATCAGCAATTGCCTACATCCTCTTGGTGATCCCCTTGAGAAATTCACTTCATGAAAGAATAAGTTACAACTTTGGTTTTACACAGAAAAACCCCCTTAGAACTCTATTCTCTCCCCAAGCTCTCTTTTCTCTCACACCCCTTGCTCAACACTTTGATGCACTTGTGAACACTCTCACAACCCTTGGTGTTTCCCCCCTTGGTGTCTAGACTCTCAAGACCCCAACTCAGCTCCTAACTTGAACTGATTGCTCTCCCTCACGTTCTCCCTTGGTGAGTTAACCTCCTTTCAACACAATAGCACCCAGCTACTTGACCACCTTGAGATTAACCACACATTGTTTCTGCTTCAGCCACTTCCTTTTATTCAACTTGTTTTCTCCCTTGTGTTATCTTACTTCACCCCATTACCTACACAAGCCAATGGACAAGAGATATGATATCTGATTGTCCACCACGTTCTTTCCTTTTAGTCACCACTTAGACTAAGGGTCAGATCAAGTAGGTAATACAATCCCA